GTGGTTACTCATCATGCAAGAGTAGTTTTTGAATGATGGTGCATGTTGAGTGAATGAATGAATGTGTTTGAGTTATTGTCGTCATTGATGACGTTGATGTGGACAGCCGCTTCGCTTCGCACGGTAACAATCGAAGAGCGCGTTTGAAAGGGATATATATCCGAATGCCTTGAAGCAGCGTCAGCAACAACAACAGCAGTAAGTTGTGCGGCATTCTTTGCCTAAAGCAGTCATTCACACAAACATCGACTAAGAGATAGCAGTCAGTCAGCAGCCATATGCCATTTGCCAGCTGATTGAACGAACGAATGAGTGCTTGGTGAAAGTCTGAAAATGGCCTAAATAATCGCTGGCAGCCGTCAGAGGGAACGAGACATCGATCGAGTCGAAGAAATAGCGGATATCGGCTAGATGACTCAATGAAAACGTCAACTCAACCATCAGCTACGAACGCGCAACCGAATAATCAATGACCAACCAATTCCATTCAACAACTGCAACGTCGTGCGATGTTCAATCATCTGAGCTTAAAATGCAGGCATTTTCGTGTCGTCTTAGCATTTGTTTGGCCAACAGAATGACATTGTCAACGGAGTAGCAGATAGATAGATATCTATCTATCTGTTCATGAGGCACTTAACTGGCTGAAAGTCGCATCGGAGAGTATCAGGCAGTAACTGTGGTATGAGTATTTGTCTGTTCTGTGTGCATGATATTGTGACTTTAATACGTACGTGTGGAACGCATCAGAGCGGACGGAACACCACTTCTATAGCTGTTGTCACCAGAAGCAGAGTGGCACCATTCAGCAGTTATTTAAAATTGAACGAATACGCGGAAATGTATCGAGCATTTATTTGCACCTGCTTTAAAGACCGCCTCTTTGGTCGTCGATCTTGGACGACAATAAGCGAGCAGTAGTGTTGGATATGAGGTGCTTTTGTTGGCTTTAGTATACGTAAAGCACCATTGCATTCCTTACGCGATCAGCACTACCGATCTCGATGCTACGCCCTAAGGCGTTCTTCTTTAGTGCTGACCCGAAGGGTCGGCGCTTATCCGTGGTAATCGTTTCTGGACTATTGCATGTCTTTTCATGACCTTTCACTGATATTTGTTCTACGTTTCTTCATCGATCAGCAACTTTTAACTATCAAAGTCTCAGAAAAGGTTTAGAAACGGTTCAGGTTGAACATGATTCTGGGATAAGATTCATAATGCTTTTCAAGTCATTGACTCTTTCACTGACCAAAGAACAAATAAGCAGTCAGTCCATTCTTCCGTTTGTTGTCGAAGAAAATGAAGAAGTAATTTCCCTTCACCTATGCTGGTTGCTTATCTAAGAGGACATAACATTGATGCTAACATGGTGTTTAATTGAAATGAATTCATTAACCGTTTAATTTTCACCATTTGCCAACTAATAGTGATTCTGATATTCAGAAACCATTTGCGGATATTCAACTGTTACAGCACCGATTTCATCATGATCATAACTCGAGTCAACGACAATCTTCTAATTCTGGACTTCCACTTTTGAAGAAGAAACTGGCTGGTTATACCGATGAGGAACTGTACGAATATCGTCAAGTTTTCAATATGTTTGACACAGGTTCGATTCATTCATTGTTTTCGCCTCCTAAAAAATATGTCTACGAAGACTTGAAACAAGCTTTCGACTTGATATTTGTTACCATTTGAAACAGATGAAGCTTGCAAGGAATTGAAATAAAGAAGTAAAGGTCAAAGCAAACTGCGAATACATGTCATGAAACTCGAGTTTGAATTCCTGCTGAAATTTTCATTAGTTACTGTGAAGCATTTAGAAACAGAAATAAGCATTAC